AAAAATGGGATTTTTGGAGGAAAAATGTGTGAAAATGGGAAAAAAGGGGAAAAATGGGGGGAAATGGGATTTTTGGGGGGAAAATCGGGGGAAAATGGGGAAAAGTGGGGGAAAAATGGGAAAAAGTGGGCAAAAATGGTATTTCTGGGGGGAAAATGGGGAAAAACAGGAGGAAAATGGGAAAAACGGGAGGAAAATGGGATTTATTGGGGAAAAATGGGGAAAAACTGGAATTTTTTGGGGGGAAAAGGGGGAAAACTGGGATTTTTGGGGGGAATTTGGGCTGAAAATTGGGATTTCGGGAGGTTTTTGGAGGAAAACCGGGAGGTTTTTGGGAGAAAATTGGGATTTGGGGAGGGAAATTGGGGTTTTTGGGGGTTTTGGGGGGATTTGAGGTGACTCAAAGAGGATTTTGGGGGAAATTTGGGAAATGGGGATTTTGGGGGGAGGATTTGGTGCAAAAACCGGGATTTTGGGGGGATTTTTTTGCATTTTTGGGTGAATTTCAGAGTGAAAATTGATGGAAGATCAGGGAGTTGTTGGGGGGGTTTGGGATTTGGGGTTTTTGGGGGAATTTCTGAGGAATTTGGGGTTTTTTTGGGGTTTTTTTTGGGGGGGTTCCAGGACAGGGGGGTCTGCGAGTGCCCCGAAGGTTTTGGGGGTCCCAACTGCTCCACCCCCATTGGGCCGGGGTCCATCGTGTGGGAGCCCCTGGTGGGAGACACCCCTGAGGAGGTGAGAGACCCCAAAAATCCCCAAATCACCCCAAAAATCCATCCCAAAACCCAAAAATCCTGAAAAAACACCCCAAAAACCCCAAATCACCCCAAAAATCCATCCCAAAACACCAAAATACAGAAAAAACACCCCAAAAACCCCCAAATCACCCCAAAAATCCATCCCAAAACCCAAAAATCCTGAAAAAACAGCCCAAAAATCCCCAAATCACCCCAAAAATCCATCCCAAAACCCAAAAATCCTGAAAAAACAGCCCAAAAATCCCCAAATCACCCCAAAAATCCATCTCAGAACACCAAAATTCTGAAAAACCACCCCAAAGCACCCCAAAAAACCACAAATAACCCCAAAAATCCATCCCAAAACACCAAATCCTGAAAAACCACCCCAAAACACCCCAAATCCTGAAAAAACACCCCAAAAAACCCCAAAAACCCCAAAATCACCCCAAAAATCCATCCCCAAACCCCCAAATCCTGAAAAACCACCCCAAAAAC